TTCTCGCTTTCTGTCTCTATGTCTCTGTCTGTCCGGCGAGCGCACACGCCCTATAGAGCAAAAACCTCTCAAAAAAAAAAAAAAGAAAGAAAAAACAAGACTCATTCGTACCTTTGCTTTTCTGCAGCAGGCTGGGGTCCCGGCGGCCTTCGAGAGTCTTCCCGCTGCTTTTTGACACATCGGCTGCCGGCGTCTGTGAGGGGACCAGGTCACATTTAGGAGAGAGGACACCGCCTGTCATGAGCAGGACCCTGACCTAGTCTGGGCTGTTTTCTTTTTGAGAGAGATTTTTGTTATAGGGCGTGTGCACTTGCCAGAGACAGAGACCGAGACAGAGAGAGAGAGAGACAGAAAAGGAGAAATCACCCCCCGGGGGGGGGATGGCCATGCTGTAATCCCTTCTCTCGTCTCCTCTCGGGATTCTGGACATGCACACACAGGCACCTGGCATGAGTTTTAAGCCGCCAGGTTCAGGACTCGAACCATGGTCGATTACGTGGGAGTGCAGCGACGGAAGCGTTATGCCATCTGCTGGTCCCATGTTTCTAATCTGCTCATACTTCAAAGAAAGGGGGAGACTGAAGAAGTTTTGAAATGGTGGCTGGATCCCACAGGGTTGAGGACGTGGTTCAAGTCCCGGACCCTGCAGCTTGAAAAATCACACTGGGGGACCAGCAGTTGGTATAATGACTATGTCGCTGGACTCCCATGTAGTTGACCGCGGTTCGAGTCCCGGACCCAGTGGCTTAAACTCACGCCGGGCACGTGTGCGTGCGTGCCCAAGATCCCGAGAGGAGAATGGAGGAGAAGGGATTGCGGCATGGCCATGCCCCTTGGGGGGTAATTTCTCTCTTTCTGTCTCTCTGTTTCTCTCTGCTCTCTGGCGAGTGTGTGCACCCTATAGCAAAAACCTCTCCAAAAAGAAAAAGAAAAAGAAAAAGAAAACAAATAAAGCCAAAAACCCCAAACGTGGAAACCGCGATGACACTATGTAATGACTACGTGTAGCAAAGTGGGATGGGCAATTCTGAGTCATCGTGACTGGCCTCAGGGTGCCCAGGTTGGAAATGATTTCAGGCGTGTCTAGGAGGGAGTTTTACGGATGAGGTCATCATTGGAAATCGGGACTCAACACTCTGGCCTCCACGGCGTGATAGGGACCAGCCAGACCCTGAGGGCCTGAACCGAGCAGAAAGGCAGAGGAGGGAAGAACCGTCCCCCATGTGCTTCCGGTCTAGCTGGCTGCGCCCGGGAAACCTCCTCTCGGCCTCTGCCCTCGGACGGGGATTCTGACATCAGTTCTCAGGATGTTGGGTTCAGACTGTGTTTACCCACCAGCTTCCTGGGGTCTCTAGTCACATAAATGTGTTCCACCAGCAGATGGCGTGGTGGTTAAGGTACTGGACTCCCATATGGCTGACTGCAGTTCGAGTCCCGGACCTGGTGGCTTGCTTTCTCCCTCCTCCCCGGCCCACCTCCCATCTTTCTCTGGCCAAATTAAAATAATAATCACAATAATACATAAAAGAAATAATTCTTTTTTTTTTTTTTGGAGAGGTTTTTGCTATAGGGCACGTGCGCTCCCCAGACAGACAGAGACAGAGAAACAGAAAGGGAGAAATCACCCCCCAGGGGGGATGGCCGCGCCGCAATCCTTTCTCCTCCATTCTCCTCTCGGGATCTTGGGCACGCACGCACACGCGCCTGGCGTGAGTTTTAGCCACCGGGTCCGGGACTCGAACCGCAGTCCACTACATGGGAGTCCAGCAACATAGCCACTAGGCTAACTGCTGGCCCCTAAAATAAATAATTCTTAAAAAAACCCAAAAACAAACAAACAAACAAACAAAAAACAAACCTTCTTGGCATCAGCAGATGGTGTCATGGGTTAGGTCACTGGACTCCCACATGGCTGACAAGGGTTCGAGTCCCAGACCAATCAGCAGCTTGAAACTCATGCTGGGTGGCCGTGTGCGTGTGCCTCCAAGATCCCGAGAGAAGAATGGAGAAGAAGGGATTGTGGTGAAGCCATCCCCCCCCGCCCGGGTGGTTATTTCTCACTTTCTGTCTCTCTGGCAAGCACACACACCCTACAGCAAAAATTTCTCTGGGGAATAAAAATCTTTTACACATACTTTATGCTTTTTGAACAATTTGCTGTAGGGCGCATGTGCTCAGCAGAGACAGAGCAAGAGAAAGACAGGGAGGGAAAGTGCCCAGGGGTGGGCACACCGTAGTCCCTTCTCCTTTCTGGATTTCGGACATGCACACACAGGCACCTGGTGTGCTTCTACAGCCATTGGCTTCCAGGACTGGAACTTCAAAGCTGACCATGTGGGATCCAGCACCCTAATCACCATGCCACCTGCTGGCCTGGTAAGAGCAATTTTTTCTTTCTTTTTTGGAGAGGTTTTTGCTATAGGGCACGTGCGCTCACCAGAAAGACAGAGAGAGACAGAGAGACAGAAAGCGAGAAATCACCCCCCAGGGGGCATGGCCACGCCGCAATCCCTTCTCCTCCATTCTCCTCTTGGAATCTTGGGCACACACGCACACGCGCCCGGCGTGAGTTTAAGTCACCGGGTCCGGGACTCGAACTGTGATCGACGACATGGGAGTCCAGAGACATAGCCATTATGTTAACAGCTGGTCCAGGTAAGAGCAATCTTATGGTCAATGGAGATCTCCCTGCTTTGCCCAAGAGATTCCAAAGCAATCAGCACCTCGTGACAGACTGGACTTAGCATGAAAGGCTGCTGATCTCAGAGGCTAAGACCTGAAATCGTTTCTGGGGGACCAGGCTGGGATGGGCTCCCCTGACTAACCTCCCACCCCCAGTTTCAGACGTACCTTTTGCGTTACTGTTTTGTTTGTTTTCTTTTCGTATTTCAAATATCGGGACTCGATGACTCTTCCTCCTGCAGGGATACACGGTTGGCTTAAGACAAAACCAGAACTACACAGTCAGCTGGTGGCATGGTGGTTAAGGTGGCTGGATCCCACACGGTCGACTCAACCGTTCGAGTCCCAGACCCGGTGGCTTGAAAAAGCACACAAGGAGCGTGAGTGTACGTGCCCCAAATCCCAAGAGGACAATGGAGAAGGGACTGTGGTGTGGCCATCTCCCTGGGGGCTGATTTCTCACTTTCCTTTTCTGTCTCTCTTTAGTGACTGCACATGCCCTATTACAAATTTTTTTCAGAGAGGTTTTTGCTATAGGCCGCGTGCGCTTGACAGAAAGACAGAGAGAGACAGAGAGACAGAAAGCGAGAAATCACCCCCCAAGGGGGG